CGTATCCCTGCTTGCTGGTGGTAATGCCCGATAGGACAGACTCCCCCAGTGCTTACGTGCAGCGTCCCTTGGCTTCGCTGACACACTGCCTCGCGTTGGTCGAGAGGAATTGTTCGCGGGTTTGTGGCTTGCCTTGCTGACCACATCCAACAAGGGCTTCATCGGTTTGTTCTCTACTGGCATAGTCACCCTGGTAGCTGGGCCTAGCAGCGACCCGGCCGGTTTCTCCATATCCCGTGCGGCTGCCCTCATGATAGCGGCTTGCAGTTCTGCAGGAGGCGGTCTCTCTTCGGCTCGCGGAGATTCTTTCGCGATTGCATTCTGCAGAGACTGAGGAACCCCCAGATTCTGCGCTCCTCGAACATATGGCCCGACCACAACGCGCATTTCTGGGTCTGGGAGGGACGGAGTCCTGAGGCCGAAGACCAGTAAGTTTCCGTTGCGCCGTATGATCCAGTGGTCATAAGTATCGATCTCCAGTGTGCATCCGCTGTCTAACAATTTGGGTAGACTGAGAAAGAGTCTGTCGTACGCCACCGGCACCCGAGGAAACCGAGGGCCATACACGACGTCGTCCAGAACTAGCCGCACATCACCTGCCAAATCCAACTCGACCCGTCCTTGACCGTGTTCGTTGCCGAGATGGGGGGCGAATTCCCGGACGCCTGGACATTGTTGGAAAGACTTATAGAAGCCCATGCTGTTGGAGAAATGTTCCTCTAGATAGGCTGCGATGATATGTTGGCAGTGAAATGTACCAGCGGGGATTTCGCCATTGTTGACCAAGTAACTATAGGATGAGTTGATGGTGCGCCCTTCAAGATTCATGGTTGAGTACAGTATGGTAACTGAGTCGAGAATATGAGGGCAGGAAAACAGTCAAGCTAAGCAGAAGGCCAGATGGAAAACTTATATCTCGTCCACGAGCCCGCATGTCACGGCCCAATGTCCGTCGTTGTGGAACTCGGGGAGTGATAATATTTCTCTTGTGAGGCTGTGAGATCCATTTCCAGCCCGAGTCTCAAGCAAGATCTTTATCATCCCTGATCTCACCGACCTTTCACTTCAGGCGGCGATCTTGGGCTGCAGTCACCACATCCCTTGCCTCGTCCTCCATCAAGAAGATTGGCAAGAAGTAGTGACAGCAGCAGCTCAAGTCACCTCTCTTGCGTTTGATGGGTAGAGCATGGTCTAAGACCTTTGTGTAATGACGATGTCGTCCACTGGGTCGATGTGGCTACCCAGAGAACAATGCGCATCCCGATGCAATCGCGTTGGCAGCAATTTGCTTGCAGACTGCGAGGCCATCTATGATGTCCTCGGCCCAGTTGTCAGAGAGGTTCAAGAGAACAATATCACTTGCCGGCAACATCAAGCCAGATCGTCGTTCAAACTCTTGGGTGAGAGCACGTTTGGCCGTTTCCAAGGGAAATGCGACTAGCGAGCGTCCAATATGCCCTAAGCCGCTTTCTGAGAAGTATGGCAATGACCGAAGAAGAAGCTTCGTCGAATCGACCAGTTCCGAGCGTAGCAGTCCGATCTTTTCGTTCATTTTGCAGGACTGGGCGTCATGTGTGTCCGGGCTGTCCACGGCAAACTCGATATTTGTCAGGGATTCTTGGATCAGAGTGACATGCTCGATCACAGAGAGATACGTGTCGAGAGTGTGTATTTTGAACGAAAGATAGTAGGTCCAGGCCACCACTACTTCAAGATTGGGAAATGTGAGATCGCCATCCCCAGAAATGTACGCTGCTGTCTCGGCAACTGAGCGGGCATCATTGGCAAGGAAGTCTTCAGACCAAGTGTGGAATTCATTCGTAGTGTCAAAGAGTGTCTTTAGAAATTCGTGTAGCCGATCAAGTTCTCGTTCTCCCGGTCCAGTCCTGCTTTTCAGGTTATCGACATAAACCATGATCGGAGGGATATTGCCGGTGAGATCAACCAGTCTACTGAACGAGCTGATATGGCAATTCCCAAAGTCTGAGCTGTTGGAGTGACTAGCTTCCCTGCCCAGTGTTGTTCCGGTAAGCACTGATTGTTGGCGGTTGATGAGGCAAAACACAATTTCGAACAGTCGGTATTCCTCCAACAGATCGAACATCTCTTCCGGCATCGATTTCGACGCCAGAAAGTGATGGACTAGCAAGCAGCCTAGGCCACGCACATGACGGGAGATGGTGTGCAGCGACCCGCTGGCGCTTAATTCGAACATAGCAGCTGCATGGCATGATAGCATCAATGCCGGGTAGTCGTTGGAGCGGTGCCTGTAGTCGTCCATCAAAAGTCCCAGCTGCCGACTGACTCCTGGGAGAGTCGTCTGATAAATGCGTTGCGCAACTTGCTGGATGTCCTCCCGCTGGTGCTCCCCTGCAAGCAGAGCGAGCCCCAGCGCTCGAAGCATACCAGTCAGGAGAGGATTCTCGTTGATGGTAGCTAATTCATAGCCTCTCACCACCCAAGGGGCGCATGGTGTCGTCAACCGCTGTTCGGAAGGTCCTGAACATCGTAGTGTCACACGTTCTGGCAATAGGCGTGATCGGAACAAGGCCAGGAGGCCAAGAGTGTATTGTTTCTCAGGACTCGGGGGAATCGATAGACTGCCCTCCGATGTTGGATGCCCGTCACAGCGTGGTACTGCCGGTTTCGATACTTGCTTCTGATCGTCAGAGTCTCTTGTCTTCTTGGATTGCCATTTCGTCTCCTGAACCCATCGGAGCTTTGGAGGTTGGTACGGAGCATTAAGTGCTTCGAGCTTCTTCTTCAACTTCTGGCGCTCTCTGTGTGCTTGAACATTCAACCTGACTTTTTCCCGTCGGATGGCCAGCTTCTCGTCCTCGGTACGCTGGGACGGTGGTCTTCCTCTACCCATTTGTCTCGGAGTATGGCTGGGCGCAATCTAAAACGCTGTAATGGTCTTGTCGAGCTTCTCATCAGCAGAGCTCTCCCATCTCTTATGCTTTTGGCGCCTGCTAGCTCATCTGACACGTTTGATCAGTCATCATCATATAAATATGGGGCCGACCGACGAGATCTACGTGTCGCAATTCATGGTATTGTGTCCAGAGACGGTAGTAGGAACCCTTGGCACAAATCAGCGCTTGTCGTCGACAGGGATGATAGAGTTGGGTGGTGCTTACGATTGGACGCCGGAGACGTATACATACCCTACATGTCGGGCCTCACGACGCTGACTGCGACCTGATTATCCAACTGTTGATGATTCGAGGCTTTCGGCCACATAGTCGAACTCGCGGAGGTTAGATTCGTGAAGACAAAATGATGGAGAATAGAGAAAGTCGTGAAAGCGAATTGAGGTTATTGTTGGTGCGCAGGTGCCAATGTGACCTAGCTCACCCACGCATTGGTGCCACGCTGCAACCACCAGCTTATGGATATGACCTATCCCTGTCGTGGTGAGCACGGATATTGACATTGCATTTATTTCTTCCAACCCCAAGTCCGCTATGAGTCCTTCAACCGTGCTAGTGTGGCCTTCCCGGCCCTTGAATCATTGGCTCTGCCGAGCTGGGCGGTGATCCATTGCCCAATTTCTGCCATCTTGACCATATCGACACCAGTCTCACAGCCCAGGCTGTGCAGCAGGTGCAGCAAGTCCTCGGTCGCAACGTTGCCCGTGGCGCCCTTGCTGTAGGGGCAGCCACCCAGTCCTCCGACAGAGCTGTCGAATATCCTGACACCATGTTCCAGACCAACAACTGTGTTCACCAGCGCCATGCCATACGTGTCATGGAAATGAAGAGCGAGATCTTCGTCCAGGATACCAGCTTCCTTCAACGTCTGAAGCAGTTTTCGCGTCCGAGGTGCTGTGCCCATTCCAGTCGTGTCAGCAACGGAAACTTCATCGCAGCCCATTTCCAACAGGGTAGCGGTAATTTCCGCGACTTTGTGAGGGTTCACATCTGGCCCTTCATACGGACATCCTAGTGCCACAGACACGTAACCGCGCACGCGGATGTTATGCTGCTTTGCAAGCTCGAGTATAGGCTTGGATCGCTCCAAGCTCTCTGCAATGCTGCAGTTTGTGTTTTTCTGTGAGAATGTCTCTGTTGCTGCAGCAAATAATGATATCTCTGTCGAATTCCCCGACTGGACTTTTTGACCTTGTGTTTGTTCCGGCCCGGGGGATGGCGGCGGGGTGGGATGGCCTGTGGGATTTTGACCGCCTTTGGCTTGGAATAACTTGAGCAGGTTCTCGAGTCCGCGAATGTTAGGCACGAGATAGTTGTATGCGATGCCGTGGGGCGCAGCAGGTGGTTGAGTCAGTACAGACTCAAGGATTTCTGCCGTTGATGCCATCTATTGGACACCATGTCAGTCATTCTCTCCCTGTACGGACTCTCTGTTACTGTGGGCCACCCACCTGCGGAACCCATTTCGCAGGCACAAAAGAGCCTGCCTCCATATGCGTGACGCCTGTCTGCGCCAGTCGCCGAATAAGCTCGAGCTTTGTCTCCAAGGGTATGGTACTTTTTTCGTTCTGCAAGCCGTCTCGGGGTCCAACTTCGACTATTCTGACGTGGTCGGCAAGGCATTGTCTTGTCGTGCTGAAGCAGCGGAACAAGGGCCTGGGACGAGCTCGCGGCAGGGCAGAAATGAATCTCTTCATCGCTACGGTTGGCACAAAAGGGTAGGGGAATGTTCAATGTCCTTTGGTCGGAGAAAATCTGCAGACAGCGTATTACCCACGTGCAGGAGGTTACCAGGCAGCCAGGGTGCCAGGTACAGTTTGATGAAGCAAATGGCGAGAGAGGCCAAGTTGCGGAGTGGCGCTTGTGGAGAAATTGTATCCTGCAGCCTCCCTTGCCTCTGTGCCTCTCCTCATGGCCAAATCCAAGTAATGGCAAAGTGCGGGGAAGCCTTGCCGAGGCGCGAGGCTGAGTAAGACCGATATCGGAACTATATAGTATTTGAGTCGGGATTCTCTCCATAGATCTATGAGTACCACTGGTATACAGGTGAATGAACCATAGGTACACTCAAGCTTTCAGCTTGAACTGGCCTTTTTCGGATGCATCCAGCGCCCGCACAGCAATCACGCAAACACTCGACAGCATCAATAGTCCAAAATCGTACCAAATGAGTGTGATGAATGCGTGCGGATGTTGGCCATCTGCAACCAAAGCTCCACCTACAGGTGAGCCCCAGAACGCGCCTAGCCCGCGGATGAAGTAGATGAAACCGTTGACTGATGCATATGCTTGGGCACCAAACACTTCAATCACCGTCGTGGGGAACAAGGAGTTATACCCTATGTTATCTCGTTAGCAACTCCCATACTTTCCCGCCAGTGAGCTGGGTGAGACGTTACCTCCAGCGAACAGACCATAGGTCACCACAAACGTTATCCAAAGGGCCATATCATTACCATAGGCACTAGAGAGCCAGAAAGCCACAACGGTGATGGCACTCCCGAGAACGCTAAGAACCAAGGTGTTTTGTCTGCCTGCAACATCTGCGAGAAAGCCCATTGCTATCCGACTGACTGTATTGACGGCATTATTGATAGCAAGAAGCGCAGCGCCACTGTCACCAATAGTTCATGAGCCTTTGTCGTCAATGTGACACTTCCGGATACTTACAAGGCAGCCGTGTAACCCAACCTCGTACTAAACTCGGGGAGAAACGTCAACGGAACAAGATTCCCGGCGGCTTGAGCCATCGCTGCGGTCGCCTGTAGAATGAAGATGGGCCTTTTCGCCAGCCTGACATCCACCAATGTCGGTCGTTTGGAGAGACTCCGTGAGGGTGGCGTTCCTAGCACAATAGGTATGCACAGGGCAAAATTGACCACGCCAAAGATGCGTAAAGTCCAGGCGGCACCCATCCTTGCTAGGAGGGCACGAGCCGCCGGTGCATAGACGAGGCCACCCACACCGGCTCCCGACAAGATAAACCCCATGGCGGAGCCGCGATGGGCGTCAAAGTACTCTGGGGCCACCGCAAGGATGGGGAAGTACATCAAAGAAGTGCCGATACCGTATATCAAGCCCTGTGTAATAAGGAGCTGCCATACCTAACCAAGACTGTGAGCATGCATGGAGGGTTGCTGCGAGGGGGAGCTGACCTTGTTACAGAAACTTGCAAGCACGTAGCCGGTTCCTATAAAGGCTGCCCCAGCACCAGTAAGCCACCTAGGATCCTTGGATCTCGCCATGAGCGGGTTGACCACGATACTCCCGCCCCAGGTCAACCCAGCGGCCAGAGTGCCCACAAAAGCCAGCATTGCTTTGCTTGATACTTCGCTTGGCGGCAGAAACGGATCTTTGGGACTGCTCCCGTCGGAAAGATAATAGTTGAGAAAGACGCCGTAAGCTTGGTTGAGGCCGATGGTGATGAATACATCGAAGAAAGCACAGAAAAGAATAACCGTCTGGCGTTTCCGAGAAACTGGTCGCATGGCGGGTTGAGCATTGGCCGGGACGACCATGCTTTCATGGCCAGACTCATCGTCCACTGCGCGCAACTGAATAGACCCCGGCGATTCGAGCACGCCTGGTGCAGCGGTCGGGCTAGAAGTGATTCTGGCAGCCATATCGTATCGGCGAGCTGCAATGTCGCCAGTAAGCAGCTCAAGCAAGAGTGGGAGAGGGAAACAGAGAAGCTTGCGGGAGAGAAGATGCGGAGAAGGAAGGGCGCAGTTTAAAATTATGTACGAAGTTGCATATCCGATGACAGCCTCGCCGATGTCACCATAATATGATGGGGAAAGTCGGAGGCTGAAAGTGGAAATCCCCATGGCTACTCCAACCTATGACTTCATTGCGAACTTCGTATTCCGATGTCAGATAATAACTTTTTCTGTCTGCCTCATGGTATTTCTCTGTGTTGTGGAGGCTTTCGTTGAGCATACCTATCGTATGCCCCAAGTCTCAATTTTATGGATCACTCTATGCTTGAATGCAGCCCTATCTATTGCCGGCCTGCATCATCAAGTCCTCTCTTTGGCATCGTATCCCTTGTTGTTTGCAACCACCTCTAATCAATTGCCACAATCCACAAGATGACGCTTCTGTCATGCGTCTTCAGACTTTTTCCACGCTCTCTTTCTCTCCTTCCTCGCTCTGGGCCTTCTGACGGGCTTCATTGTTCTTGGGAAGAACCATTGCTTTTGCATCCTTAACAATATTGTCCCATCTGGCTTTCAATCGACCGCAGGACACCACCTCTCCGTAATCTTCTTGGTAGATTCTCTGGACAGTCTCCCACAAGAGAGGGTCGATCTCTTTCATTGCTTTGGCCCTGGCGTTGATCAAATTGTCCTCCTTTCTCTTTGCCTCCCTCTTTCGTTCGGAAATGATCTGGTATTTCAAGTCGTCAGGGTATTGTTCGAGCCAGTTCACGGGGAACTAGGTAGCGTGTTAGCATGGGAAAGACCATGGAAGTGAGCAGAGCAGGTGGACAAACATCGAGTTCTCCACTGACAGCAAATTGCTCCTTCAGCCTGCAAAATCGAACCAGCATATTGCTCCGGCCAATTGTTTCTCCGGTCACCCGCTCCCACTCCTTTTCGATATCCTTGTGCGCCACACGGTTGAGCTTCCACGTCCAGAGCATCTTGTCCCATTCGCCCGCATCAGCAAGTGTTTCAGGAAGCGGTCGACCCGGATTCTTCTTAGGGCCTATGAACTGGGGAGGGTTGTTGTAGCGATCGATCACGCCTTGAATGTATTCTTCAAAATCACCATCTGAATTGCGCCTCTTTCTCCTTGATTTGCCGCTTTCTTCTGCACTGCCCACTCTCGTCTCCGTAGCCACCTCGTTTTGCTCCTTTCCTTTTGGTGCAGCTTCGATCCCGAACGGATCTGACATGACGTTGTGGTCGTCGGCGTGGACAGTCGGTTGCTCAGCATTAGCCATGCCGAAGGACATTTTCTTGTTAGATGCCCGATGTGGTCGACCAGAAGCGCGGGTACGCTCAACAGCAGCCTCAATAAGAGTGGAGAGCTCTGGAGGCGGACTGTTTTCTTCGGTGCGAATTCGAGGTGGAGGGGCTGATGGCATCAAGCTCAAGGTGTAGGGCGAAGAGTTGGCGTCGAGCGCACTTTCTCTGGATTTCTTTGAAGATGAAATTGGTGAAGCCTGGTTGTAAGGAGGGTTGCCGGGAATATCGTTGTTTACAGTCTTTGGTCTTTTGCTACTTGGCATCGCTCTTACAGAAGATTGAAGGCTGCGCATAAAGCGATTTGGAAGAGGCGGACCCCCTGGTGGAGGTAACCCCGTCATGACGGCCCCCGGTCTGTTGATCGGGAGCGAAGCCGGAAGAAAAGTGTCGCGCAGGTGGGAAACAGAAGTGAAGTTCCGAATGAGTAGTAGAGACAAGAAAAGACAAGTCGCGAGGGCAGCACAATCCTCATTAACAACACGTAGTCGAAGTGACAGAGCACGGAAAGCCTTGATAGGCGGATAACGATCCAAACAATAATCACTTACCTTTGCAGCGTCACAAAACCCATTCACATCAGTCTGGCATGGTGGACGCCATTGCCTGAAAGGAGGACGCCAATTCGATATGGCATGCAGTCCTTCTGTCTGGTATGTCGCCATGCTGATAGCATTTATTGAACCCTTCTGTGTCTCTAAGCAAATACTTACCTGCTCCTTTGACCTGCCTCGTAAAAGGCCAAGTACAAAAGTTATAAGACAAAGCTGGATATCGTGCCGGGCGTGATTCCATCCCTTGTGGAAGTCGTAATGTCCGCACCAAAAAGGGTATCTAGTAAGCACAGGAGTAGACTTGTATCCATCTCCTTCGTTTGCAAGCACTGGATCTTTGGAGAACTACGAGGGTGTAGCAGCCTGTATGCTCCAACCTTGACGTCCAAAAATCCCATTGTCCCATGGTCTCGCAAGGCTGGCCTCCTTACTCTCACACAATATGCATTCTGGCCTGAGGTGTGTGGCCTTTTCCACTGATTCCTTATTCAACGAAGGCGCTAGCTGGAGCTCCGCCTCTCCAAGCCCCTTCCTCTGTGACGCCGTGTATTCCTTGACAGGCTAAAGGTCTGGGGTCAAACGCCGGTTGTGGGTAAGAAGGACGTTGGTCTAGTGGAAAGGCTCACAAGACCTGGAACTTTGGTTCGGTGGTAATCGAAGATAGTGTAGCAACAGTGGCCTGCGCAGTTGTGGTCGCAGCTCGTCTTATCCGCAGTCGGCCTATACCAAGACCCCAAAAGCAGCGTTGTCAATCTGTCCAATCAGCGTAGTGGGGCACTGCTGGCTGTTTTGGCCAGTCGCATTGCAACCTCAGACTTCTCCTGCCGCAGGCTTCGCCAATTGCCTTCTCCTAGTCAAAGTTGCTTCGCCCAGTGGTTGATCAAGTACGCCTTGCTTCTGCCAGGCGGATATTCAGCCTCAGTGTTCTGAGAAGTCTCCTGGTGACAGATAATGCCGGATCTGCTCCTCTCCCGACTCTTAATTCACTTCGACTTCTTCTCAGTACTCTAGACAACAATTTTCAAGAGGCCTGCGCCGCTCCCCCAGATTGGGATCAAAAAGGGAGGAAATTGCGTCTGCACAGCCACATCCTAATGGCAATCGTCCCTTCTTATGCGCTATTCACCAGAAGGCGGTGACTATTTCCTCGATCTGACTTTACGAAGGAGTCATCATCGCGTGGCCCTGTCAGCAGACCAGCTCGCACCCGATCATGACATTAATCGTAAGATCGGGAGGCGACAGAGAGGATCTTCATCTTTCGAGACCTGTGCGACAATGCAGATGACGGCCGAAACCCAGCCGACGTGCTCTCTACAAGAGACCATTCGAGCCGGGAATTTTTACTGCTTGGACGAAACCACATTCCTCCACCAAATTAGAGACGCTTTCTCTCCAGAACTTGAACGACTGAAATGTGTTAGAGCTGTCGAGGGTACTGAGGAGCAACGTGCGACGGCAAATGGAAAAGCCGATGCGCTGAGCCCTTCGCAAATTCTCTACGGTATCAACTATGACGAGGTCAACCGAACGCTCGTTGGTCTTCTTGCCCTTCGATGGGTTCACAACCGTGACTACGAACGCTTTACGCAACCCCAGATCCCCGAGTCGCGTTTGACAGAGGAATCATTCCACTGGCTGTACGACCTCTTTGAGAGAGGTATCGAGGATTCAGATGATCTTTTTGCCCTGGTGGTTTCGATGATAATCAATGATTTGGGAAAAGATCCCAACCTGGAAGAAGATTACTATTTCAAGACCCGCCATCGCTTAGAGGACCATAACCATGATACCGTACTATTGGCGGCAGCCAAGGTTGGGATGGTTCCAGCTTTGCACTATCTCACGGCGGGGAAAAGACAGGAAGTAATGCTAGGTCTCGAACTCGGATCGGAGCTGAATGCAGGCCAACTGGCCCAAGCCGAAAGCGTGCCTGTCAACCTAGAAGGGCTGATGGCCATGCGGGGCCATGAACACGCATTTGAGCTCAAGTTCATGGAGCAAATCCTCGACGTCGCCGGCGCTCTGGGTCATCTTGACTCTAGTGGCTCCAAGAGCTTCATCGAGCCTGTCTTTCAAGCCTTCAAGACTGTGCATGAGGTGTCTCTCGATATTATTGCGGGCAGATCCAACCCTCGACAAGGGTATGACAAAGTCCTCACCAAACGTGGGAACTTGCTGTACATCAAGGGATTTCGCAGACTCAGTGTTAGCGATCAAGAAGATCGGGCACTGCTCCGCCTGTTGACCATGGGCCGGACTACAGACAAAGAGCAAGCCGAGCTATTTTCCAAAGCATTCAACGCCCTAGATGAGGGAAACAAGAAACAGCTCGTTGCGGGTCTCAATGTCGACGGCAATGTCAACGAGACGGCCGTTCTGCCATACTATATGCCCGCAATTATATCTACTACATTAGAAAACACGAAAGACTCGGACGAGGAAGCTAAGCGGCGAGCACTCACATCACTTATGAGGTACCTGGCCAAAGTCTTGGGCAGCCCGGGAAAGGATCTGAACGGTCTCCCTGAGTTTGCAGTGTTTGACGGCGAAGTCCCCGGAATCATCATTGAGAGAAACATGTCAAAGGCGCAAGATGTCATTAATAGCCCAGAGTTTAAGGATAATCCGGACCTTCTGGATGCATTGGACATACCGGCCGGGCAGATTCTGCAACGTAGAAGAACGAGTCAGTCTTGGTGAATGGTAACCAGCAGTCAACGATGAATTCGCTCCCATTGACAGAACAGCTCTGTCACTACCAGTCAAAGGTGCAATCAAAATGGACAGCAAATGATGGGGTGTCCATTGAGATTACCTGGCCAAGCTACGCGAGGCTGACTTTTCGGGAGTGACATCAACTGGAGCATGGCCCAAGGTATCAAGGTGCGGCACTGGGCGAAGTTACCGACTATCCCACCTTTGCTATTGGGACGTTTACAGGAGTCTTGCCTGTATCAGACGATCATACGTTATCCACAGAATGTTTGTCCTGTTGCGATTCCACTCCTTTGCGCAAAAGGCTTATGGGACATGTATGCGAGTACAAAACGCAGCATTCCCTCAAAGGCATCTAGGCGTCACTTGCTTCACATTCCAATACTACCGATCGCATTCCTATTTCTTCAGTCATCCCGACATTCCAGAGGAGACGGCAGGACTAAAGACACCTAGCACTGACAGGCCTTCAGAGTTTGCTTCAGAGAGAGTTCTCCACAATATAAGCAGTACTTCCCTCGCGGCTTTCATCCTCAACTCTTGCGACAACCATCATTTCCTGAGCTGCAACATGGGGCCCTTAGCCAGACGCACCTTGATGTTGTTCCATCAGATCAGGACTCGGATCCGCGACCTCGTCGTGCCTGTTCGTCCGAACGCTCATAAGAGCGCATCATGGGCCTTGTCTCCTGGTCGATGCAATGTCTCAGCTTGATATTGGTCCTGAAGGCGATCGGAATACCTTTGCTTCCTTTCCTGACCCTCATAAGCATCAATCTGCTCTGGTAATCGGAATCTCAGCTAAGGGATCAGTGCTGTCTAGCGAACAAGAGAGATGCATCGAATTTGAGATTAGCACTCTACGTACACAGCAACCAGATGGTCTTTACTTGATCTCACTAACGCTGCTGTTTTGGGCTTCCGGGGTGATCATCATAGGGTTGTCATTCCTCGTTGGTGTATGCAATGTTTTTGCGCATTTGGCATCCACTACCTTCGCCGACGACAATGACATGAATGGCGGTGGAGCAGAATCAGGGAGCAGGAGGTCGGATGTTTCCACCACCAAAGTCACAGCGGCATGACGACGACGACAGAAAGAGCAGAGGAGTGGAAAACGACAAAACAGGAATGACTCGATATTGCCAACCGTCAATCATCAGTCCCCTACAGACAGCAGACAGCAGACAGCAACGAAGCCCACTGCGAGGGGCGTCTAGCAGGACAAATACACAGGTACTGTTGAAAGGGCGGGACACCGAAGACGAGGAATCATGTCGTCAACTATCAAAATAGTCTTGCGGACATATCATACTAGCCAGAACAATACATAAACCTTGATAAGAAGGTGCTTCTGTTCATCTATTTGTATAGAAATTGTATCTACACTTACTGAACTGACCGTCGTGATTGGACGGAATGTGCGGAGAAAGCAGATTGTCGTTGACGACCTCAAGGAACATCAAATCCCCAAATGACCATTTCTTTCGTCCCCTTTTGCCTTCGCTTTCTTCGCTGGTTTTGTGGATTTCGTCTTGTCGTCCTGAACTCTTCCCATCAGCCAAGATGAGCAGGTCCAGCTCCCAGATCTGGACCTGTGCGCGCTGTCTCCGGGCCCAGAGGCTGCGGGGTCGCCCTGTCGATGGTACCAGCAGCAACAACAGCGGCAGCAGCCTGATCCCTCGCCGCGGACCACGCCGCCACGCTTTCAGCACCACGGTGTCCCGACCCCACGATGAGTCTGCAGGCCCCAAGCCCGAGAGCCCGCGCTCTACGATAAGCCCGGACGGCCAGGATGGCGAAGAACACCAAGGAGCCATGTCCCGCCGACTGGCCGAGATGGCGGAGGAGACGATGGACACGGGCAGCAAGAGTGATCGCAAGTTGATGCAAGAGGCCGGGTTCTCAGAAGAGTTGAAGAAGCAGCTGGAAGAGCGGATTGCACAGACGAGTGGTGCGGCGCAGAATCAACAGGCCGCGAGCCAAATCAACAT